ATTCATCCGAGGATGCCGACAGCCTCCCAAGTCCAAACGACACCGAGAAAAGAGAAGGTGCATTTTATGTCTGGACACTTAAAGAGTTCAAACAGATCCTAGGCCAACGAGATGCAGACGTATGCGCTCGACATTGGGGTGTCCTTTCAGATGGGAACGTTGCCAGAGGCCACGATCCTCACGATGAATTCATTAACCAAAATGTCCTGAACATCAAATCCACGCCAAACAAGCTTGCAAAGGAATTCGGGTTAAGTGAAGACGAGGTTGTCAAGATCCTCAAATCATCCAGAGAGAAGCTGCGAGAATATAGGGAAAGCAAACGTGTCCGTCCTGATTTAGACGATAAGATTATTGTAGCATGGAACGGGCTTGCGATCGGGGCACTTGCAAAATGCAGCATTGCTCTTGAGAATGTGGATGGACAGAAAGCAAAAGAGTTTAGGCAGGCTGCAGAAAACGCCGCGAAATTCATCAGACAGGCACTTTTCGACTCTGAAACCGGTCAGCTATGGCGAATTTACCGCGAAGGTGCGAGAGGGGATACTCCCGGGTTCGCTGATGATTATGCATATCTTACCTCCGGCCTGATCACACTTTATGAAGCTACATTTGACGACAGCTATTTACAATTTGCCGAGAAACTCCAACGTAAGTCATACCCACAGCGCTCTACAATAGTACTTACCCCTGAACCAACGCAAATTCTAACCCACGCAGAATACTTAAACAAATACTTCATCGCCCCCTCCCCCACCCCATCCTCGGACTCCCCCACTCCAACCAGCGCCACATCTGGCTACTACACAACCTCTTCCGCCCTCTCCCCGGACATCCCGGGACCCCTATTCCGACTCAAACCCGGCACGGACGCCGCAACCCCGTCCACCAACGGCGTCATCGCCCAGAATCTCGTCCGCCTCTCCGTCCTCCTAGAAGACGAAACTTACAAACGCCTCGCGAAAGAAACATGCAACGCATTCTCCGTCGAGATCATGCAGCACCCCTTCCTCTTCGTTGGACTGCTTGATGCTGTCGTCGGACTGGAGGTTGGGGTTAAGGGAGTGATTGGGATTATTGGACGCGATGACGGCGGGGTTGTTACAGGTGGAGATATCAAGATGGAAGGGACGGCGGAAGCTGGAGAACAAGCGAACCAAGACCGCATCCCCATGCGAGAGAGGATTATCCGGAAAGCGCGTGTGGAGGCCGGGCCTGAGGCGTCGACGTCTGCGGCGGTTGTTTCGGTTATTGATTTGCGTGCAATGAATGAAGAGAAGTCGAGTTGGTTAAGGACTCGCAATGCGCTGTTGAGGGATGTCCGGCCCGGGAAGAACTATTTGCTTGTCTGTGAGGCTGGGAAATGTCGGGTTGTGGATGTCTGATGTTTGGGTGATGTGGTGAAAAGCAATGTTTTTTTTTTGTTATTTTTTTCTCTCTTCCTTTATCGCCTTCCTGTTCTTTTACGTTTGTATCCTTATATGTTCAGTGGCGGGGACACTTTTTGGGAGGCGGCAAATTGGGGAGGAGAGGTGTGGGTATGAAGAAGAAGAGATGTGGTAGTGGGTGGTGCTTTGATGATGATTTATTCTTTATATATTATATGATAGCTGTAAGGTATATAGGAGGGAACACGAGGCAATTTTTATGCTTTATATTCTAGCCCGCTTCTCCATACTAGGTAAATATATAGCGCTCGTAGGTCGAGTTGATAAGTTATTGATATCTATGGTAGTTCATGTTATATTAACCATGCTCTCATGACAAGCCCAATAGGAATATATATAACAGCCACTCCAGGGAAAACGAAGCTAGTTATATTCACCATAAATGGTTCCTCGTCATAACTACGCCAGTCAACTTGATCAGACTGCCATCTAGCATGTAGTTGACTCCCTACCCCGATATTTCACCTGAAGTTAACCTGGCTTATACCCTACTACACTACGACGCTACTACAATACTGCTACTGCTACTATTTGATCTACACTTTATATGACTCGACTACCATTTGACGGTCAGTTGGTATCGGATTCCATATAAATCCAGCGTTTATTTAACAATGCCGCTACCCTCCGGTCCGGTATGGACACCATTAGCCTCCCTCATACGTCGCACACCCACTAAACTCAGATATAACTCTCTAGCTTGCCAGATCTCCCCCCCTCAAATATTCCAGTAGCCGTTGCGGTTTATTTTGAAGATGGAAGACCTGCTTTATTTAATGGAGTTTGTCCAGTTTCTCTAACTATTCCAGTGCCCGCGATAGCCTGATATTCACAGACCTCGAACTGGAGAATCCGTTATCCAGGAAGCTTTGAGCATCCTCTTCACCGCCCAACTCACTTTAAATACTCACTTTAAATACTCACTTTAAATACTCACTTTAAATATTCACAGGCTTCTTGCTGTGATGCTTACTACCACATAATAACTATATTCCATCCGGCTCGTCTCTATGCCTCTTGCTCGCAGCGGCCGCCAGCGGACTGGGAGGCCACTCTCCCCAACTCCAGAGCGGCAACAGCCACGCCGTCGAGGGCCAGGCTACTCTTCGTATGCACCAGGTACACAATCTCATATATCAAGGCCACTCCCTGGGCCTCGAGCTACACTCCATGATCTCCATATCTTTGACAGCGATGCTCGGACTCGACGGATTGGAGGTCTACATGCGACAAACGGCATCACGAACCAGCTTCTTTACGATATGGTCGAAATGATCATCGTTGTCCTGCCGGGAGGTAACTGGCGCCTACAGAACAAGGACGGCCATAGAATTTTGAGGGATGGAAGCCAGGTCCAACGCGGGAATTATTTCATTGTTGCTGATTGTAAGTCCTGCGTTACCCTTCGCAGGTATCTACAAATGCTAATTCTTATACCCCAGTTACTGTTGAACTCACTGATGGAGATGCTCTTCCTCGGGCTGTCAGTGAGCCTGCTACTGCCACACAGACTACATTTACTGATGCGGTACGGCATCGGGATCGGGGTTGTGTCATCACCAAAGAGGCACAGGATGAACTACTTATCCAAGCCGGGCTGTGGTCTGGTTTTGAAGCTGCCCATGTGTTTCCCCTGGCTTATTCCCCACTTTGGGCTGGCCAGGGATTCGATGCTGCTATCACGACGCCAGGGTAATACTTCTCCATATCTACAAAGGTATGTCTCCAATATATAACATCCGCTGCCATGTTATGTGTATAATATCTAAATTTGAATATGTTCATAGGATAACTACAAGATAGTTTGCTTCATGCCAGACACCAAGGACATTGCAGGAACCTATCTTTCCCCGCAATTTCTTTCACATCCCCAACGACCACCTGACGTGCTTTTCGGCTGGCACTTTCGGCAAGCAGTACTGTCCAACATGAAGGCCGGAGGGGAACAACCGGTTTTCGAACATGATTACCCCCTGGAAGTGATATGATGGGACAGATACTTCGTGGGCTGAGGCCGGAAGACCGTATGGAATTCGAGCTTTTCATGCGACTGGCTAATTTGCAGTCCTGAATACCATATTGATCGATCCTACACAGCAAATCAGGGTGGTATTGTCGGGAATAAGTGATCGGCACACCAAGGTGAACCTTCTCCCGGTCTAGCAGTTATTGACCACCAAGATAACCAGGACTGCACTTCCAGGACTGCATTTTGGTCCGAACGCTAAATATGGTCATTGACTACCGTAGTCATCGCGTTTGAATGGTACTTCCAAATATTCTCCTTTGTCTGAAAGATCTATTCTATGGTAGATCAGACAGTCCGTTACGTTTCGACTCGTTGAGGCTACAAATAGCGACGCAAACTGGATATCTCCTGGATGAATGATTCTCATGGACAGCCCTATGATGCCTGTTGTTGAATGAGGCACCACTCTACCAGAGAGCTACAGTCCAGTCTGGAAGAGAGTGATTATATCAATGAAGTACCATGGGGTATTTCAGTATTATCCTGATTCTTTCTCTCAATGCTTTCCTGAGATATATACTGGAAACTATTACTCGAGAACAATCCAGACGCAGGCCCCGCAGATTCAAGAAATCAAACAGCGTTATTATAAGCTTCCAGTGGTGGATTCAGCATTAACGCCCACGGTTCTTTCCAGGTGGTTCTGATCAAGGGACCATGACATCCCTAGTCAATCGAGAGAGAGGAATCACTAGGGGAAAAAACGGACACGTCTACTCGATAGGGAAATGCAAACACAGATGGCTTTACTTGCGGGTAAGGGTTATAATTGGCGAAGTCGAACAGACAAGATAGTCTTTCACGTCAATAACATAACATATCTTTACAACTCCCCGGCTCAGTCTGCCATCAGTTTGATCGGAATGCAAAACACACAAAGTCCGACTGGAAATAAAACCTTCTGGCGAGGCGCACCCTCACAATTACGCGCTGGATGCAATGGATCCGACAATGAACAAGCCGCTCATGTCAGGTTTTCTGTTACCATCCGCTTTTCAAACGGAGAAACAACTGAATATTACCCAACCTCGAGGTCATATGGAGCCGCAATGAGGGTCCCCTATCACGTCCGTATCGCTCTGACCGAGCACGTCCTCCTTCCCCCTCCAGATCCCGCCCCCCCTAACCTCTTCGGTCTGCCCAGCCACCTCAACGACCAAACCACCCACACCACCTTCTCCCTGCGCGACAGCTTTATCGACTGGGTGTCTGGTGCAGCAGAGGAGGAAGGAGATCGCATCAAGGCCAAATAGATACGTCTGTCTATATTGCTCCAAACCAAGTGCATGTCCCAGATCATATGAACTCGTTTGTTTGTGGGGGTTTATACTGTACAGATAGTCAGTGCCAACCTGTCTTGAAAAGGAAAAGAAAACGCAAAGCCCAATAAATGTGTGTTCACAATTCTCATGCTTTTTTTGCAAGGAAGCGGAAGCTGGTGGTAGTTAGCACACATTCTCCTTTAAATAGCAGTTAACTAGCAATCCTCAATGGAATCATTGGTGTAAATAAAAAAAAATCAATGGACGCTGCCGGAATCGAACCGGCGACCTTATCATAACAGCATAATCTATGCGGGTGATACGTTATACCCCTAAACCAAGCGCCCGTGGTTGCTCTGGAGAGGGAGGGAGTGGACCAAAACACCACAAAAAAAAAAAAAAACATTATGGACGCTGCCGGAATCGAACCGGCGACCCCGTCAAAGCGTGCATGCCTTACGCGCACGCACGTGTGTGCGCGTGTGTGTTTATCAGCAATCGCGGTGCGAATGACATATTATACCACTAAACCAAGCGCCCCATGTGTTATTGATTGTGTTATTGGAACTTTGGATTAATAACACGTTGGTTCAACCAACCATGTGTTATTCGTCAGATTCACTCACAACACCCGGACATTGGTTATTATTAAACTGCTGGAAAAAAATTAAAGGAAATTAATTAATTAATTAATTATATACTACTATAAAAATCTTTTACCACCTTAAGGTGTTATATTTTCATGTTTGCAGTCATACATAAGGATATGGAAACCCTGGCTGGCTAGGTAATCTACGACTCCTGTCCTGGGTGCATTTTTCGGCGCCCATCAAGGTCTGGCATCTTCCTGGAGGAGGTAGAGGGGTTATGGATATCATGGGATGGAGGAGAAAATCATTGTTTCCGTCTTTATTTTAGCTGTGTGGCTGTCGTCGTGGCTGGACTATTTGTATGTAACTAACAAAATCGGGCCGAGAACATGATGCATCTTGATAGAGTTGAGGATGAATATCTAGCCCATGTTTGTTTGTCTGGTTCTTTGAAATAAAGACCTTTAATCATTTTCAGATTTAGCAGGATAGTTTGACCCTGTGCGGACTGGCCTGTTTTCTAGTACTAAACATAGAGCAGCGAGCCTTACTGATCTATTCTATGGCTTTTCACCCAACTATTGCGTTGATGCAAAACAGAGGATATCAGGCCATTACCTACATACCTAAGGCCGTCTGCTAAACGGCGTATAGAGATAGGTAGATAGCTGGCCTGAGATGTTTTACATTAGGTAGGTAGGTAGGTAGGTAAGGCTTGACTAAATATCCACATCAGCGATTAAATCAGTCAGTCAGGCAATGCATGGATAACATGGCCTAGATATATCAAGGCAATTTCTCCGGCTTGGAGGAGAAGAAAAGGAAGGATATTTCATCCCGATGGAGGAAATGTTTCCTGCTGAGAAAGTTCAGATGCCCCGTGCCTGTCTGGAGCTTGCATAACTATATCTAAACCAGCCATAATAATATTGCTTTGCTTGACTTCGCTCCGCAAATATGCCCTGCCCTATTTTGCAGAACAGGTTAATAATAATGAGTAAACTGTTCTGCCATATTCATTTTTTTATTTGAGAAATATATATATGGAAATTGAGCTTCTTCTTCTCCTCCCCCCCTTCCCCTCCCACCAGTCAACGTTGACGGTTGAGCGATACCGTTGTTCCAAAAAAAAAAAAGCAAGGAAAGAAAAGAAAAGAAAAAAAAGGAAAACAATGACGTTTCAAAACGCCACAGACCCAGCGAAATCAAACGGTGACAGCAGTTCTGCAGATTTTTGGTTGGATATGCTTTGCTGTATGAAAGACGTGGGTGGCTGAAACTGTGAAACGGCAAAAAGCAAGAAAAAAAAGAAAGCCCATCACATCACAGCGCTTCATCACGCAAGAAGGCACGCCCTCTGTAAGTTTGTTGGGAAAATACCGGAAAAGGGAAAAAGAAAAGAAGATAAGAAAGTTTGGATAGGCTTAAAAGTTAGATAGAGATCATGGCTGGAGCCACGCTGATAACTTTAGATAATAACTTAAAAAAGAGGTGGACAGGGCGCATAACTGCATGCATGCATGCGGGCAATGGCATGCTGCAGGGCGAGGTTACGTAGCTGCGTAACTACGTGTTCAGTGATTCAAGGATGGTGGAATAAAAACGGTCAGGCAAGTATGCTGTCTAACGATGGCGGGAGGCTGGATGCATGAGCGTTGGTTACTGCTGTTGTTGGTTGTTGGTGGCAAAGCGAGGGACGAGAAAATAGGTTGTCATGTATGAAGATTGGAGGGGGAGACAGGAGATATTTTATGTTTCAAGATCTTGGGTAATTCCAGACGAGATATCCAATCCAGGGTTCATTTGGGTGGGGGGATCCGTCCCATCATCCACGGCGGTAACTACACCCAACAACGAGCCGCCTGGAGTCAACTTGGAACTTGTCAAGAACCAACCCAGCTGGCTGGAATCAAGATTGTCGGGGAACTGGTTGCCAACTTGCCGGAGGACTCAGGAGGGACAACGCTGAGCTTGGACCAAACTTGGCAGAGCTGAGAGATGATATTAGCGGTGACTCCGGCGAGGATAGGGCCACTTGCTCGCAGGCTAGTGGACACCAGACAAGCAGAGAAGGCCGATTTCTAGCGGCAGTTGAGAGTCGAGACTTTCGAGGGCGGGAGTCGGGAGAAAGCCCCTTGTTGAAAGTTGCGGTATTTGACGGGGGGCCAGGAACAGAGTTTTTGCGGCGAAACATGGATGAGGATCCGTTCCTGGGCAGATCCAGACATCCATGGGAGCGGTGCGGGGAAGGAAGGTTGTGCAAGATGAAGCAGGATATTTACTAATTATGGTGAAGCAGTGTCGAACAGCCAACGTTTACAACTGGGAATTGATAGGGCTGGAATTGATAGAGAGCGATGAGTGGGCGCGTGCTGTGACAGGAATTCGGGATTTGAGGAATGTCCAAGAAACAAAACATCGCTGGCCCTGGCCTCACTAGCATCGCAATTAAACTAAACACGCAGGGCCCAATCAGCACGGGCAGGCCGCCCCAGCGTGGGCGCCACCGCACGCCAGCCGCTGCTATTGGCGATGGCCAGCCGATCCCCCTGAGATAACAAACATCGTGGGAGTGGGAGGAAGGGAGGAGAGGATAGAGGAGAGTATTCCATAGAGGAGAGCAGAGAGGAGAGTAGAGTAGAGGATAGAGGAGTAGAGTAGATGGATACATAGATAGATACATAGATGATAGGGAACTGCCTGTTAATTACTGCCAATTACTGTGACTGCCTGTTTCAGCCACCAGTCAAGGCAATTGCTGGCAGTTCCCGCCCAGCCCGCTAGCCCCAGTCGGGCAGCCTCTCATTTCCTGCCTCATCTCCCCATCTCAGCCCTTCTCTCTCCTCCTCTCCTCCCTCTCTCTTTTATATCCCCAACTCTCGCTCTCCCTCGCCCGCCGTCTCTCCTTCGGCTTGTTCCTCCGTGCACTTTTCACTCCTTCAAAGTGTCCGCGTCTGTCTGTCTGTCTCTCTGTCGCTCTTTTCCGCCCGCCTGCTCTCTTTGCCTAGTCTGCCTGGCTCAGATTCGCGCCCCTGCTCTGCTCTGCTCTGCTGCTTTGAACCAGGTCGTTCGCCTCCTTGTTCAATATCTTCCTGTGGAAGCCCGTCCTCTCGCACTTGATCTGTGATCGCGCGCCAATTTCTCCCCGAGAAATAGAATCTCCCCTCCAGATTCCCTCCGCCCACACGCAAATCAATCAATCAACCAGCCATGCGAGGATCACTCCTTCTCAGCGCCCTCTGCGCCGCCAGCGCAATGGCCACCCCCGTTGCGAAGCGTGCCTACGTTACCGACCTGACCGTCGTCACCGTCACCGAATACGTGACCCGCGGGGCTGCCCCAACTCCTGCCCCCCAGCAACCCCCCAAGGACGAGGCTGGCTACCAACCACCCGTCGTCGTCACCAAGACCAAGCACAAGCATCCCACCAAGGCTCCAGTCAAGACCTATGCGCCCAAGCCTCAGCCAACTTACGCTCCCGCGCCTGAGCCTAAGCCTAAGCCTCAGCCCACCTATGCTCCTCCGCCTGCGAACAACTATCAGTCCCTTGTTCTCAAGCACCACAACATCCACCGTTCCAACCACTCCGCTCCTGCCCTCACCTGGTCCGACGAACTCGCCAAAGCTGCCCAAGTCCTTGCTCAGCGATGCGTCTTCGACCACGACACGTGAGTTCCAATATACCAATCCCATTTTGGTAGCCAGACTTTGCTAATCCCCCATCAACAGCTCCATTGGCGGCGGTGACTACGGCCAGAACATTGGCTACGGCTTCGCCCCCGACTCCGTCGGCAAGCTGCTCACCAACATGATGTACAACGACGAGGCTGAGCTGTTCTCCTCCTTCTACGGCATGGCCGACCCCGACATGAGCCAGTTCAAGTCCTGGGGCCACTTCACCCAGATGGTCTGGAAGGACACCAAAACCGTCGGCTGTGCTACCTACAACTGCAACAACGACATCAACCACTTCACCGTCTGCAACTACGGCCCTCCTGGTATGTGGTTTCGCCTTGTCACTCCTTCGATTCTCCAATACTAACCGTTCAATAGGCAACTACCCTGGTGAATATGCCAAGAACGTGCTGAAGCCCCAGGGTGCCTCCATGGCTGTTGCATAAATTCTTTGAACCCCTTTTTATATATATACATATATATTTATTTTCTGCATGGAAACCCGAGAAATGTCAGATAAAGGAAGTCAAACCAACTACACACACATTTCGACAAAATTACATGCATAGGGGGAAACAGGAAAAGTTGAAAACACGGGTTCTTCGTTTTTGCCTTTTCCTTCTTTTTTCGAAATACATATTTTATACTTGCAGATTACTTTTTTTTCTGTCGTCGGAGGAAAGGAGGGAGCGTGGGAGGGAAAAAGGAAACGGGTCAATATCGATAACGAAGCGTTCTATAAATCCCGAAAGAAAAACCTTTCAACTTCTTTTTTTTCCCCTTCAACTAAAATCTGATATATATGATTAGATTATTGATTGTATCTATCAGATCAGGGGTTCCCTCCCCCTTTTTTTATATTAGTTGGGGACGGACTTTGTACGGAGTTGATTTTTTACACTTCTCTATCATGTATTCTTCCTCCTTTTTATTGTCAAAATATGTCTGCTTTGCCTCCCTTTATTCTTGCGTTTCTGTATGTTTCCCTTTTTTTAAGTTAGCTTTGAAGCAGGAGTGAAATGTCTGGAATGAATGATTCTTTTTTATTATATCTCTTTTAGTTATACTTACAGAGATTCTCTTGATTTCTCACCTTTTTCTGTGAAGTGGAATGTTTTTATCGAAGTAGTACATAAGACTTTGATGATGTAGTTTTTTGATCATTTTTCTTTTTTGCTCTTTTAATTCATGATTGTATTTGGTCAGGTTTTTTTTTCTCTAGGGGAGGGTTGGGGCTTCAATGGTTCCCCTTTGTTTTATTAAACATGTCGAGTT